TCTCTCTCTCTCTCTCTCTCTCTCTCTCTCTCTCTCTCTCTCTCTCTCTCTCTCTCTCTCTCTCTCTCTCTCTCTCTCTGTCTCTCTCTCTCGTAGCCAGGTACTAGCCGGTGAAAAGATGGCGTCTTGAGCTGTGATGCAGGTGTTTTGAACATGATTGTCCGTTGAAAGTTTGTCAACGCTCACTCACAGGAACTCCCGTACACGCCCATACATGCACGGAAGGAAGGGGAGAGGTAGTGGAGTGTCACACCGCCCAACAGAAGAAACGCAGCTGAAGACTCAGAAGGGCGAAGTGACAGAATACGCAACACAGTGGATTCTCTCCACAGAAGTCCCAACAATCATTCATAGAAGACGACCGAGAGATCACAGCCAGAAATCATTGAAGAGATGACAACTCAAACACAGTATTAAAACTGTTTATTAAACTCAGAGCATCGTTCAACTGAATAACCTCAGAACCCTGTTGCGCTACCCTCAGGAGGGTAGCGCCTCAACCCCACACGCTCTGAACAGCTAAAATTAGCACCAGAACCCCAGGTAACACCCAGCGCCACCCTGACATCCAACTCAGTGGCCTGCGCCAGTATGAAACAGGCTCCCAGAGCCAATCGCCACTCAGACGATGAAGAAGAAGCCTAGCGCCAACAATCTCTGATGAAGATGGAGTCCAGACGATGATAATCTCTGAGACGATGCAGCTATGGCTGCATCACCACTGGGACCCCACTCCTGAAGAGGGTCAGCAGTGCACCACGTGCTCCTATGCATCAGACCTCCAATAGCCCAGACCGCTTTGACTCCCAGAGAGTCAGAGCAGGCAGCGTTGACCCCAGTCTGGTCAGCGCTCTGCAGATCCGGCTATGTCCGCTGTCTCCCACGCATCAATCAGTCACCACGACCTGATGCTGCGTGCGCAGCAACTTCCAACACGAAGCGTTAACTGCCAAAAGTCCTGGACTGATGCTCTCCATCTATCTATACTCTACCCTAGCCTAGACTCGACCTAGACCGGACTGACTGACCGACCGGTACCGTTTCTGGTTCGGCCCCTTGGGCCTCTCCCTACCCAACTATAGGCTATAGGACCGTCTATCAGCATAGGCCCTTAGGGCCTGTCTGTTCTAGGGGTAGCCCGGGTCTGCTATTCGCAGTTAGGGTGACTGTAGGAAATTCGAGTTAGTACTGGGCCTATATTTTCCCAGATTTACAGATATGTCCCTCACGAATTTTCCTTACAGGTAGGTCTCTCGGTTAGCCCTCAGCCAAACAAAATTACGAATCTGTCCCTACCTATGGTACAGCCTCGTCAGAGAGAGCCGACAGGCAACCTGGAACCAGCAAGTCATTGCACAGGTGGGGCGGCCTGAAGGTGATCTACAGCTATGGCGTCCAAGGTAAGTCCACAGGTGTGTCCCCTCTCCTCAGCATCCTCCTGGCCTCTACTTCCAGACCTCCTATCTCCTCTACCTCTTCTCAAACACAGCTCTCCTCAACGCTGATCCAGCAGCATGGTCGCATGACTCCCAGAATGATGTGACCTACAGCAGCGTAGTCGCAGGGCTCTCTCAATGCCGCTGCCAAGAATGAGGCCGGCCCAGCTATATATAACGCTGCGCCTACTGGATCCTACCTCGGCCTGTGTCCTGAGCCGTCTGATCGTACTGTCGATCGACGGTCCAGGATGCAGGCCCTAATCCTGGTCCTGAGTCCTGGCCTAAAACGGCCTGCCTGGGTCCCAACCGGACGTTCAGAACCTTCTGCTGAAGCAGCAGAGCTGTCCTCACAAAAGGACAAAACCAGGGCTAGACCAAAACGTGGTAGTCCGAATCTGAATGACCCAGACCTGAAAACGGCTGCTGGCCTTGAAATCAGGCCAACTGGTCCAGAGGCACTACCGGTCTGGACAAAACTACGGAGACGACAAATCCAGACTGGACAAACCTGCAACAGACAAAAAAACGAGCTCACAACAGACAAAAGACTGAGAACAACATCAAAAACGAACTCAGCAAAATGCAGACCCCCCCCCCCCCCAAAAAAAAAAAAAAACAAACTCAACACTCCACAACCCCTCAAGGGCCTGAACCCAAGTCGGGCCCAGGAGGGGTCTGCATGGGACCCCATGCATACCACAAAAGCTAAATAAAAAAGGGAGGACCTTTTTGTGATGTTGGAAGGGGAAGAAAGGAAGGACCCTAAAGGCAAGAGCTTTGGCAAGGATCTTATAGGGAAGTGTTAGAAGCGAGATGGGTCTATAATTCCTGATATCTTCTCTCTCTCCTTTTTTGTACAACAAAGTGACCACGCTGCTACTCAGTAGGTTTCCCAGTCCCCCCTTGAGCCAGCTGTTGTTGTAGAAGTTTAGCAGATCTCCTCCTAAGAGCGGCCAGAACTTTTCCCATAATTATTTTGTCAGCCCGTCAATTCCTGGAGACTTATTGTTGTCCATATTTTGGACAGCAAATTGCAGCTCTTCCATGGTGATGGGCTTGTCCAGACCTTCTGCTTGTTCTTGAGATATCGTTTGTTCCGGGTATTGCAGCATCCTAGTCCGTGCCTCTCTGGTGCTGGGTGGAGTAGGTATAGGGGTCTTCATGTGGTAGAGCTCTTCGTAGAATCCTTTGCTACATTCAACATTCCTTCGCTATCTCTTGCTGTTTCATTTGGATAGGGTTTTCAAGCCCTCTATCGCATTGGCCCTTGAGTTTGCTTTGATTCTTGCGAAAAAGTGTTTTGACATTGACTCGCTTAACTCATATTCGTTCATTCTGGCTCTTATTTGTAGTCCCTTTAGTTCCCACCATCTCCACATAGCGAGTTCTTCTCTTGCCTTTCCAAAAATGTCTCTGTAGAGTGCCGAAGAGGGGTTATCGATCGGATTTGTCTCTGCGATCTTCGGGGCTGTTTCCAATGCTTGCTTCCTCTGTTTCCTGTCGGCCGCTAATTTCCTTGAGATTTTAGCTACTGTCTATGATAATGTGGAGTAACTTTCCTGAAACCACTCCCACCGATCCTGTATGGGTAGGTAGGTGCCCTTTAAATTTTGTCAACAATCCTGAACTCCTACTTGAAAATTCCGGCTCAGTAGGAGGGAGTTGTTGAGTTTGTGAAAGCTGGACCCCTTTTTAACATACTGTTCAAAGCTGATTATTAGTTCGATGGGTTTATAATCCAAACCCGGGTATGGTGAGAGAGCAAGGATCTCGGCGCTTTTGGCTGTCCCCATTATTGTCCCTGAAATCAGGAAATAGTCAATGAAGGAGAAAGCGGTATTGTGGGCATGGTTCTTTTTAACCAATGTGAAGGCTCTTGTCCCTGAATGCAAAGTCCGGTATGGTTCAACTAGATTGTAGTCCAACATCAGCTTTTGGATGGGCACCGCCTCCTGTGTATGCTGACCAGCTGCAGACCTAGATATGCGATCCGTGGTGGGGTCTATAGTTGCATTCCAATCACCGGCCAAAATACAGGGCGATAAAGGGGGGATCAGATGGCTGATGTTTGTTATAAAAGTTGATTTGTCTGAAGAGTTGTTCGGTGAGTAAACACTTATTATTCTGAACTCTTCGTCCTTCCACTTTGCATCCATAAGGCACCACCTACCTTCTCCCGTGTCCGCCTCTTTTCCCACTATCGACCCTGCCGTCTATAAGCGGGATGACTTGGGTATAAGGATGGTTGTACCTTTCGTACTTGTCGCATTGTCTGAGGACCATATTTCATCTTTCATTCCTCCCAATTTCCGTGATAAGAGTTTCCGAATTCTGTTGTGTTCTGTTGAGAAGGTAACGTGAGTTTCTTGTAGCAATATGATATCTGTCAGTTTGTTTGTGTGAACGGTAAGACCTTTGATTATATCTTGCATTTTTCCTTCATTGTCGTTAATATTTCCGAGCCCATTAATATTCCAGCTCCTAATGACTTTCCCTTGTGTCTTCCAATCCACCCGGTCTTCCTTTTCGTTTGCCCCCTTTCTAAAAATCTCCATCATTGAGGTTGTGGGGAAGAGACAGGGGTGCGATCATAGTACATACTTCCTAAGAGGGGCCCTGATCGCATGCATCCATCTCCGACGATCCATCACCCGGCGGGTCCTGAATCATCGTGGTGAGAGAATCATCTAGCTTATACTCCCCCACAC